GCACAATTGTAAGGAACAAGGCAAGATTGGTTGTTAAAGGCTACAATCAGCAGGAAGTGAGTTTGAGATGAGCATGATGGGGGAACTCAACTTCTTCCTTGGGCTCCAAATTAAGCAAACTAACGAAGGAATAATGATCCATCAGCAGAAATATGTGAAGGAGTTATTAAAAAAATACAGTATGGAAAGCACAAAGATAAACCACACTCCCATGGGAACAACCACAAGGTTGGACCAAGACCCCAAGGGAACTCGTGTGGATCAAACAAAATACAGAGGTATGATTGGTTCCTTGTTATATCTAACTGCTAGCAGACCTGACATTTCGTTTAGTGTAGGTCTTTGTGCAAGATTTCAATCGGATCCAAAGGAATCGCATCTAACAGCCGTCAAAAGGATTCTACGATACTTAAAAGGGACGGAAGACTTGTGTCTGTTCTATCCAAAAAGTGACTCGTTTGACCTAAGAGGATATGCTGATGCTGACTATGCAGGAGATTTGGTAAATCGTAAAAGCACGTCAGGTATGGTCCAATTCTTAGGCTCTTGCATGGTCTCTTGGAGTTCCAAGAAACAAAACACTGTTGCTCTATCCACTGCCGAAGCAGAATATGTGGCTGCTGCTGCATGCTGCTCTCAATTGCTATGGATAAAACAACAGTTGCGTGACTATGGCATTATTTTAGAGTGCGTTCCTATTCATTGTGATAACACAAGTGCCATTTGCATTTCTAAAGATCCAGTACAACACTCTAAAGTTAAGCATATACATGTAAGGCATCACTTTTTGAAAGATAATGTTGAAAAGGGCTTAATTAAGCTAGATTTTATTTCTACTGAATTTCAAATTGCTGACATTTTAACTAAGCCTTTAAGCAGAGACAAGTTTGAAAAGATGCGTGTGGAATTGGGGATGCTACGGCTAAAGTGATTTTTGTTTGGAACCCCTAAGGTAAAATCGGATGTAACTAACGATGCTATGCTCAATCTTGTGTGCATAACACAGCTGAAATTACCCAGGGGAAAGATTTGTGAAGTATTGAAAAGTCACGTATACATACTCTTAATATGTTAAAAATATTGAGCCATGTTGTTTCAAGTTCCCTTTTCATCATTCTTTACTCTCTGTATCATGATCACGTAAATTATCATCATAATTTACAATCAATTTGCTCTTATTTATCTTTTTCATTTTTTATCTGTTTTTCTTCTTGTTATTTTCTTTCTTATCTTTTATTTCTATCTTATTTTTTTATTCTTATCTTTTTCCTTCCTTATTTTTTCATGATCAATTTTTCTATTCCTCATAACATTCAAAAATACAAAAAGATTTTTTTTCACGTAAGATAAGGAGCTAACATATTCACTACTCCTTAACTTCCGTATTTTTATCTATCTTATTATTGTGATACGTTTGAAAGATGCAATTATTACATCCTATTAAACCCATACTACCCCTAAAACTACCCTACTACCTTACCATACAAACCGTCTCTTTTTCTCACCCTTCCCAATTAAATTTTTTTCTTTAACACTCCACCTTCACCCATCAAATCAATTAAACTCCCCATAAACTTCCATAACCGGCCTCACTCTCTCTCCTCCCTATTCGCACTATTCATCTTCTCCTTCCTTTCAATTCATCCTCATAACCATGAAAACCAACCTAACCTCAACCCCGAAACAACCAAAAACCCGGAAGCCTTCCTCTGTTGGCGGCTCCCCTGAACCAGTCCCACTTGCCGTTGTTCACCCTCAAGCTTCGACAAAGAGAAAGGCTACAACCGTGAAAGGAGGTGACAGAAAGAGGCAAAGCTCTCAAAAGTCTCCATCTTGGAATTACACTCACGGTTATCACATCAATTATGACTGGTGTACGGCAAGTAAGTTCTCCGAATTCATCTCCTTAATTGATTATCAAGAATGGGTGCATTTGTTCCAAAATTGTTCTCACTATCCAATTTACCCTAAGCTTTTGTTTGAATTCAAAAATACTTTCAAACACAACAATGGTGTTTGCACGGCTACGGTCAAAGATACTCACATTCATTTTGATATTGCATATTTAGGGAACTTGTTTCAAGTCCCCACCTCTGGCTATAGTTCATACCTAAAACACAAGCAAATTGTGCAAATTGGGCATTATGATGAGAATAGGGTTATTAAATTTATCGGTGGAAACCCGAAAAGCAAGACTTCGCATCATAACATACTCACCCCTCTTCACAAATTATTGTTCAATTTCACATGGAGAGGCATTGTTCCTCGTTTGCAAAAACGTAGCACAGTATCCCTACTAGATGCAACCATCATCTTTTGTCTTGCTCGGAAAATAAAAATAAACTTTCCAAAGTTGATGATTGAACATTTGGCTTTCTATGCAAATAAATCTACTATTCCATATGGATCTCTCCTCACTGTGTTGTTTAAGTCTTTTGGGATTGATGTTGAAAGTGAGTCACCCACTTATATTAAACCTGAGAACATTCTCTCGGAGCAATCTTTGCTTCGCCTGAGCCTTAAACTTGAGAGTGGGACACTTACTTTCTTGACGAGAGGAAGTGAGGAGAAAAATCGTGGAAAAGGGAAAACACAGGTTGTAGAGGGAGATACAAGTGAGTCAGAAGAGGAGGAAAGTGAGTCTGAAAAAGAGGAAAATAAAGAAAAAGGAGAGGAAGAAAAAGGAGAGGAAGCAATTTCTGAGGGGGAACCTCAGGAGGCAGTTTCTGTGGAAGAAGAGGAGACTCAGAGTGAGGGGGAATCTAGCTCAGAAAGTGAGAGTCTCGACCTCCCTTATACAGGAGGACTAAGGCGGAGTAAGAGGAAAATTGTCAAACCTGCTACTTCTACTCTAAAGCCTGTGATCATTGAAGACATTAGCTCTTCTGATCACTCAGACCCTGATTTCACCCCTACACAAGTTCCTTTTGCCTCCGAGCCATCTCCTGTTCCTGCCTCTCCCACAAACCAAGCTAAACCCTCTTCCCCTCCTGTTTCACCAAAACAGACTTCTCCCTCTCCCTCCCCAGCTTTTCCTACATCACAGCCTACAGGCTTTGCTGCCTTCTCTGGAACAAATGCTTCTGTTTTTGATATTCAACAGGTGAAAGCAGAAATGGAGAAGCTGGTAAAGATGGTGTGCACAAAGCTGGAGGACATGGCAAAGCAGCTGGCTTCTCTTCAACGCCAAGTGCAGGCTGTGGCAGATGCTCAGGCAACCAGTTTTACTGGGATGGAGAACAAAGTTGATGCTGCTGAGAAGAACATACTGCACAGCACTCAGGAGATATTGGAGACGATTAACAGGGTGGCTTTTGAAGAGGTGGAGGAAGCTTCCAATGACCCCAAAACCCCAGCTGATGAACCTACTTACTCACCATAATTGCAATTTCAAACTTGTCACTTTTACTTCTTTTGTTTTTGCTTGTTCCATTCGGATTTCAGTTTGTAACTCATAACTTTTGCTACTCTTTCCTGCTTTTGATTTTCGTCTATGGGAACTTGGCTCGTATTTTTCATATGATTGTGTGTGTTTGCTGATGATTTAGTACCTAACTTATTTTTGCCTTGCATTATTTGAGCTCACTATTCCCTACGTAGTCTAGTGGGAGTATAGCAAAATGTTTTTTTCAATCTTTTGATAATGCCAAAAGGGGGAAAAAGACAAACTTCATGGCGGCTAAGGTGTTTACCAAGGAACTCACACATCGAAGGTACAAACTTTTGCTAAGTTCAGTTTTTAAAGTCTTTGTTAATTTTTCTTTTGCTCAGTTTTTTTTTAAAAAAAAAATAAATAAAAAAAATAATAAAAAAAAAAAAAAAAAAAAAAAATACTTTTAAATATTTTTCTAAGTTCTTTAATTGTTTTTTTGTTTTCATGCCTTACTTTAAATTTTTGTTGCATGCCTGGATGATTTTATTTACCTAAGTTTGTCAATGTTTGTCATCATCAAAAAGGGGGAATTTGTTGAGCCTTTTGGTTTTGATGGACAAATTGACAAACTCGACTAATGAATGTTTTGAGTCTTTGGTGAATAAAGGATTCAAGCAAAGTTCGTTCCGGAGTAGGAACTTGGATGCGGAGTAGCATTCTTTAAAAAGCCTCGTGCAAATCTCACGTTCTAGTTTTAATTGTGAGCACTCAATAATATAAAGTCGGAAAGGAACTCAATGACTTATGTTAAAGACTACTGGAATAAAAGTTAGTTTTAAAAGATAATTTCTTAAAGAAAAGATAATTTGTAAAAGTTTTAATAAAGATAATTATCGAAGATAATTATCTAGTTGTTTTAATAAATAATAAATTTATCTTTTCAAATAAAATCTTTTTAAACAAACTTTTGATAATCTTTTAAATAAAATATTTGATAAAGTTAGCAAGTGGTTTTTCTGTGAGAAAATCTTTTATACGGCTAATGGTTATCAAGTTGTTAGGATAGTGGTTTAATTAGATAAGGCTAGGAAACCTCTTCATGATCACAATCTGTCAAGATAACTCCACAAGTTGTTAGTGGGTTGTTGACATGTGGACGTGATTATGGTGGAGGTTAATGACTAAGCCTTCTCTATAAATACTCATGCAAACTATCTCAGCAAAACATAACTCTTGAGCATAAAAATTCCAGTAGCCATCTAATAACATAAAGAGAGTTATTTTCCTTCATATATTCTTGAGTGCAATAGGTATTTGTAATCACAGATTGTATTCAAGTACTTAGGGGTTGGGATTGTGAGTTTGTAAGGTGAGGTTAAGGAAGCTTCGTTGCTGAAGTCTTCTGTGAGAGTTGGGAACAAGTTCCTAATTTGGGGAACTTGTTAACGGGTTTGAATCTTCACTTGTACAGAGTTTGATTACATAGTGGAAATTTAGAAAAGCCTATATCTTCTCTCGTCATTATTTTATTTAGTTAAATTCCGCAAAAAGTTTTTAGATTTCACCTCAAATACAATTCACCCCCCCTCTTGTATTAGCCAGTTAGACTTTCACTACACCAACACAATTACATGATCAAGTTAAAAAGCGTTAATGTTGTCTCATATGAGGGCAAATGTCCACGCATGTAGTTAGTGAAAATGGGTGATACCTGTTTAAGAAACCTCCCCACGATATCATCCAAGGATTCAGTTGTATTATGGCCTGTACCGCATTGAAGTTTAGGGTCACCCAATAGAGTTGAGTCATCAAAAGACTTCTGAGCTTCGTTTTGCTGTTGGGATTGAGGAGAAGTATCTTCCAATTGGCTTAAGGATGGAACACCTATGATGTTGTTTTGCCTCAAATTCTCTCCGTGTGTCGGAGCTACAGTCAGGATCAAGGAGCTTGGAGTATTGGAAATATTGCATAAATTCATAAAATAATTAGGCTTTTGAATTGGTTGTGGGATGTTAAAATTATTGAGACTACTTGGACGGTCTTGGCTAAGCGCATTTCGATCGGTTCCATATAAAAAATCAAGCGGATCGTTATGAATTTGAGCATTGAGAGGAGTTATGTCACCACCAGAGACATTATTGGTTGGAAGCAGATTTTGTGGGCAAGAGAGTGGCTGAATAGGATTCCCCCAACTTACTTTGCCACGAGGATCCAACCCTATACCTAACTGGTTTGTGTTTAACATCATGGAGGCGGTTGGTGGAGAAAGGAGAGGAAGCCTATTATTCATTTGGATGGTTGTAGGATTGCCTTGAAACAAATTAGCATTTTGGTTTCCAGAAAAACTCAATGGATTTGGAAAGCGGGGTGTTTGAAGCAATGGAGAAGAAGATATGCCTCTAAAACCTACCCCTTGATCTGGTAGGGATGAGAAACCAGGAAAGCTTCCTGCCCCTGCGAGGCTTCGATATACTCCATAGCCTCCCCCTATGGATCCTATATGCGAATCCTCAGTCCCTACAGAAACAACTCTATTTCCAGCAGCCTGTCCAGAACTTATCTTTCGGAGGTAAAGCCTATATTTCTGCATTTTTTTTTTTATTAAATTTCATGTCTTAAGTTATCTGCTTTGTGAATACGGAAAGTGAAAGAAATTAATTGAATAAGAGGCATATAGACCTGCAAATGGCTTGCAACCTTTTCTCTTGTAAGTCCTTCGACGTCCATTAAGTCAAGAATTTTCTTAGGAAAGGCCTCTGCAAGAAGAAAAGAAATTAAAAAATTACTGTAAATAAGATTTATGCATTTTTTAATGAGCAAACTAGTAGAAGTTGTTTAATTTTTTTTTTTAAAAAAAAAAAAAGTATGTAGTGGTACTGACTATCAAGGCCTAATTGGTGGACAGCATCCACAAATTTCTGGTGTAGCTCAACCGACCAGAAAAGCCTAGGCTTCTTTTGGGTTGCTGGGTCTTCATTTCCTTGACCACCCTCATCCATTTCATCATCATCATCATCATTGTTGTTGTCATCTCTGGAACCTTCCTCAGGGCCTTCTCTCCTATTTCCGGATGCATTACGACCAATTCTAATAGGAGCACTTTTACCACCACCAGCTGCTTTCTGCTTCCTCCTAAGAACATGTTGCCATATATTTTGGAGCTCCTGAATTCTCACGGGTTTCACCAAATAGTCACAAGCACCACTCATAACGCCTTCCATCACTCGATTTGTATCGCTATAAGCTGATAGCACTGTCAAAGTTCAAAAGGCCCTTGTCATAATCCCTCAATAATAATAATAATAACAATAACAATAATTATAATTATAATTATTATATGACAATAACAACAACAATAATAATAATAATAATAATGTATGAGGGGTACGGTGGCTAAATTCTAAGTTAAACTTCAGCAAATAACGCCAAGAAATGATATCTCAATAAAATTCATATTGGCATGTTTTGATCTTGGCTGAATATATTTACTGTGATACTTAGCATATAGATTCAAAGATATAATGATATCCAAATTAATCTAGGTGCATGGTACCAATAATTTATCTATGATTGTATGTTTATAACAATAATATATAATTATTACAATTTTAAAAATCTATTTCATCAACGTTATTGAGATAAGAAAGCTAAAAGGGGTTAAAAGGGTCTTACTAATGACGGGTAGATCCATTTCAAGACCCAAGATTTGAAGGAGTTTGATACCATTCATGTCCGGCATTTCAACATCACTGATCACTATATCATACTTATTTTTGTTTGCTTTCAAAATGCGCAGTGCCTCCTTTGCTTGGTTGGTTGTAGTAACTATTCAGTGCAAAAATTATATATAATAATTAACAAGGATTGAAATTTTTTTAATAAAAAAAAAATAAAAATAAAAATAAAAGCAACAGTCCATGATTCTTAGATTATAATTGATACAAATTTATCTTTTAAACCAAATCTAAGACTAAAAAATTGTAGACATAATTCAAAATTACACACTTTATATGTCTTCCTAGCGTGGAAAATGCTTTTTGTTGTTGTTGTTATTGTTGTTATAAAGAGTTTCTTTTAAAATACCCTAGATTTTCTGACAAAAAGTGTATGTATCAATAATATCATTCGCTCAAAACAACGAAAAAAGCTTACATGGATCAAAAGATTCAAAACTACAAACCTTCCATTTTGTGTGTGTATGTGTGGGGTAAGGTGGGGGTGGGGTTCCTTCAATTCAATATGAAAAGGGTTTGAAAAATAATAAAATAATTATAACAATAGAAAACGAAAGGGGGTGAAAGAAATACATACCATGAAAGTGACATTTTCTAAGAAGGTTGTCCATCAACTTCAGAGAAGTATTATCATCATCCACAACAAGAACCCTCAATCCTTTAGGAAATCGCTCATTTTCTAATGAGGCCATTTTCACACACTGGTTTGGGGGAAAAAAAAAAGAAAAAAAAAGAAAGAAATGGTGAATAGAATTATTAGAGAGAAATAAAATGTGATTAACTGATTGGTGAATACTTTATGGTAGAATAAAAGCCAGTGATTTAGTATATATAGGCACAATGTATATGTACTTATAGCATGACTGAGACCAATAATTACATCAATTATTTATGTAATAATAATTAAAAAAAATGGATAATATTGAGAAAAATGTGATAAAAGAAAGATAGAAAAGATGATGAATAAGTCGGTTATATGTTAATTATGAAATTTTGAAATGAAAAAAGAGTTGGATGATTGTGAAATTAAGCAAGGGAATTGAAGTGAATGTGCGTACAAGAAAATGATGGTAAATGACTCGTGTTTAAAGGTTTATTGTCTCTTAGACGGTTTTGATCTTATAGAATTATTATCAAGGTAAATTATCTCACATATACAATCTCTTAATTGTTTTTTTATTGCTCTTATTTTTTCCCTTTTCTTCCTATTTCCACTCGTTTTTACTACCCTATATTAATATTAATAATTTAGCATTAGTAGGAAACCTGTCCATTTTTGATATAAAATCATTATTGATATTAGGGAATTTTGACTTTTACCACCTTCAAATAACCACTTAATTGAATTTACCACCTCCAAAAAAAAAAGATTTACTTTACCACCACCAAAATTTCCAAAAATTCGATTTTACCACCAACTAACGGATTCCGTCCATGAATCCGTTAGTAGGGCCCACCTTTTTGACGGTTCTTCTTCATCTTCCCCGATTTCCATATCAACCCAGCCAGCAACGAAATTAACACACCATGGTTGGTCGGAATTTCGTGTGGGGGCAAGGGAGGGGTCGGAATTTGGTGTAACCTAGGGAGGTGATCGGAATTAGGTGGTGGTTAGGGTTTTAGGAGTGCGGAATTTGGTGGTGGCTAGGGTTTTAAGAGTTGTCGGAATTAGGGGGGCTATATGGGTGGTCGGAATTTGGTGGCTAGGGTTTTGAGGTCGGAAATTGGTGAAAGGGGGTTGAAATCCGGTGTGGGGGCTGTGGCTGGGTGCGGTGCGATGCGGTGTTAGCGGTTAGGTGGTGGGGTCGTTGGTCGTAGTGATTAGGTGGTGGCTAGGGTTTTGAGGTCGAAAATTGGTGGAAAGGGGGTCGAAATCGGTGTGGTGGTTGTGCGGTGCGGTGCGGTGGTTGTGGCTGTGCGTTGTGGTGGTAGTTATTAGGTGGTGGGGTCGTTGGTCGTAACGGTTAGGTGGTGGGGGCTGGTAGCGGTTAGGTGGGGGGGCTGGTCGTAGCGGTCAGGTGGTGGGGCAGGTCGTAGTCGGTCCGGTGGTGGGGTCTCGACGGTGGCAACAACCACCGGTTGATGGATGGGGTTTTTTAATTTTTTTTTGTTTTTTTTTTTAATTTTTTTTCTAAAGCTTACTTAATAATATGGCGACACGTGTGCAAGGTAGGCCCCACTAACGGATTTATGGACGGAATCCATTAGTTGGAGGTGATTGGTGGTAAAACTGATGTTTAATTTTTTTATGAGGTGGTAAAGTAAATCTTTTTTTTTTGGAGGTGGTAAATTCAATTAAGTGGTTATTTGAAGGTGGTAAAAGTCAAAATTCCCTTGATATTATTTAATTCAATGAATCCTAAATGATACAGACTTAGATGGATGGATATGTTAGTAATAAGGGATGTGATTATGTCCATTTTAATGGTTATTTGCTTCCATATTAAGAAGATATGACAGTATCAAAAATAATCTGTATGGGTACAAAATTAATTGAGGGCCTCTAATAAATATGTATGATATAGTTGTGGTAGTATCGAGTTTGATACGTTACTGGTGTGGATATGAATTAACCACATGGTATATGTATCAAGTTTGATACGCTGACTATTTTTTGACTTAATATGTTTCATTTATCGTGATTGTAAATGCATAAATTTTTTCTTACATATAACATACGAAGGACAGTCAAAGATTGAGATGTGAATAGCGGGAAAGTTAAAGTAAATCGAGTAAAAAAGGACGGAGGAAGTAAAAAGAAATATAGATGAAGGAATAGGTAAATGGGCCTGTAAGGTAGGGTATGGTATGGAAATGGATGGATATGATAAACATAGCCCAATTTAATATTAAGAAGGGACGGCCAAACTAGAAATATAGCCCAATATAAATGATAGGCCGACAGAGTAGTGGTAGACTGGGTAGTAGTGTGTGACAGGCGACAGCAGTTAGTGTTATGTTAAGTACTACTGGTAGTTGGTATTAAGATGGATCTACAATCTAGTCCGTAATCTGTGTTCCTGGAAATCGTCTTCTCTGAGATAACAATCTAAGTAATTCTTCCGGTTGTAGCAATACTATATTCGATAATCTTTGGGTTGGAGTAAAGAAAGAAAGTGAAATTGTGATCTGGTCATTGGAGTTGGTGAAATGAGCGGTTCAAGTTCTCGGACTGCAGGCGGTGGTTGGTTGAGATGGTGTTTGGTGATGTTTGCAGTAACCTCCGCACTGTGCGTGTCTGCTCCTGCTCTTTATTGGAAGTTCAATCATCAACACCACTTGTCATCATCTTCTTGTCCTCCTTGCTCCTGCGACTGCCCACCTCCTCCTTCTCTCCTTCAGATTGCTCCTGGTAACTTACTTACTCTTCCTTCCATTCTTCTCACTCTTTCTCTTTCTTCACTTTCTTTCTATTTTCGATTCAACTCTCTTTGTTTCTTCTTTTTGTTCCAGGATTGGCCAATCTTTCTGTCCCAGGTATTCATTCATTACCCTAAATTCAATAACAAATTAATTGATTAATTGGCGTTTTTATTTATAAATAACAAATTATTATTAACTGCTGGCAGATTGTGGAAAGAATGACCCGGATCTGAAGAAAGAAATGGGAAAACAATTTGTGGATCTGCTCACAGAAGAGCTGAAGCTACAGGAGAGTGTTGCTGCAGAGCACGCGCATCATATGAACGCCACGTTGACAGAAGCAAGAAGAGTTGCTTCTCAGTACCAAAGAGAAGGTGACAAATGCATTGCTGCTACTGAAACCTGCGAGGCTGCCAGGGAGCGTTCTCAGGATTTCATCAGGAAGGAGATCAAGCTTACTTCTTTATGGGAGCGCCGAGCTCGCAACTTAGGCTGGGAGGACCATTAATTCTAACTTACTCATGTATCACCTTCATACCTCACTTTTTTTTTTTTTTTAATCATCTGCTGCTTATCCTATTACTACATTTCTTCTATATATATATGAGACTTCCTTACACCGGCTTCCTATTGCTCCATTGTATCAACTTGGTTTGCATTTGTCTATATTCCGATCAATTCAATGTATTATAAGAATCTTGTCTTATGGCTCACTGCTCAATTGTCTGAATCTTGGCTATGGCGCCTTGGTTAAACCATGTGTTGGTTGGTAGACTGATGAGAAAAGTAAAATGATGTTCATCTGCGAACCTGTTTTACAATCACACAACATGCATTCAGCTTAACTTGTACTCAATGTCCAAGGAGTCAAAACATTTCATCCTGCACTATTGTACTTCCCTTGCTTGACCTGTCTTAATTATTTCTGCCGGTCGTTTAATGTCCTTCATCTTTATTGGTAGCCTAGGTCATGGTTATGCATGGTTGGAAAATATTGACTTTTGGATAAAGAAAGGGGAAGGAAAAGAATGGGAGGGAGGGAAGGGAAAGGGAAGAGAGGGAAGATTGATGACTTTTACTTCCAAGTTCCAACTCTCTCTATTGTTAGAGAGATTAATTTCTTACAATTTAGTCCCTCTATTCTCCCTTCCAATTCCCTTCCTTCCTCATTTGCTATCCAAATCAAAGATGCTTCATTGCTCCATTTCCCTTCCTTTTCTTTCCCTCCATTTCCTTCGATCCAAACACACTCTTACGTTTGTTTGGATAGCAAAGAAGGAAGGAAAGGAAGGGGAGGAAAGAGGAAGAATAGGAGGGAAGAGAAAGGAAAAATAGAAGTTGAGCTCCATTTTCCGTCCAAGTCTCTCCAATTTTGAAGGGATTTATTCTTATTAAAGATCTCGTTCCCTTAATCCTCTACCCAAATAAGAGACATTGTTCTCCTCCCTTTCTCTTCTCATCATCTTTTCCTTACATTTCCTTCTATCCAAACAACGTGCTAGTCAATTTTGCTGGAAAATTATGAGACTTAACTTCCTCATCAGTTTCTTGGGACTCCAAGGTTAAGTTGTCTAGAACATGATTCACCCATAGGGGATTGAGGTGGGTTCAATATTCAGACAATATGATCTCCATTCAAACCATAATGTAGTCCTTACTCATGTGCATCCCCATTATCTGAGTTGGCTTAATTTTATCACTGTACTGCTTAATAACTTTAAATTGCTTTCCGTTTATACCATAATGTATTCGTCTGTGCTGATTGCTTTAGCTGTGATCATAGGAACTGTGATAAATCCTAGCTGTTGTTCAGAATGATTTGCAAATTGGTATATGTATACATACTTATATACTGTACTATATATACAAGGTATTTGCCCTGGCATAACTCCATTAAAACAAACACAGCATCTTGTCTACTTTATCTCGTTTCCATTCGTTATACAAATAAAACTGATACAGTGTTACTCGAATGCCCCTTTTTGTATGTATCTTTATTTTCCTCTGTTTTCTTTAGCTTTACTTGATTTTCCTTTGCCTGTTGTTTGATGTAATTGGAATCAAATGGTAAAGGTGGGTGACCCTTTTAAGTTTACCTCAAGCGGATAAATTACCGGTAATTTCTCAACCGTGTGCCTGATGGCTTGTGTTTTCGTTTAAGAAAGTTAAAGTGTAGTCTTTTCAGTTACAGAAATTGGTACACTTTTATGGACTTGAATCAGAGCAATATAACCAGTGTTATGTACAGTAATGTACTTTGGAGATAAGAAGTATTTCAGGAACATTATTATGAAAGGTGATATTTTCATGCTGCTATTTTGGCAATTAGCTGTCGATTCGCTGCTTTACTTTATCATGATTAGTGATTGTATAAATAGCTGCTTCTGTACAATTATTTTGTAGTTGGAGGGCTTATGAAATTAATCCTAATCACTTAATTATTGCTTTGTCCTGTATTTCATTTGTTGATATTGTGGTGATTAGATTCTGTAGTAGCTAAGTAGCCCACGCTATTGTTGAAGTTATTTTTTTTTAATCTTGTTTTGATGCATCATTTTAGCTACAAGTTGAACCACCTAATAATCTAATATACCTAAATTTGGATGTAACCCCCCAGAGTCCACGCGAGGCTTTGGAGTCGGGTTATATTTAGAATGTGTTAGGATGAATTGAAATGTGAGAATGTTGTTTTAGGGGAATCGAATCTGGGTCAATTTGTATGACTATACCAAGAGCTCACAGCTGAATCAATGGTAAGACGTTGATTAAAAAGTAGGTAGAGATTGATAGTGTGGTAGGCTTTGATACAGGCACTTATTAGCTATGCTATGTGGGTTGAATATAGTTGGCTTTGTAGCCTCCTACTGCTAAGCTGATTTGTAGAACTAATGAGTTAAAGAAAACGGACGACGTAATCATGTTTTTTTCAGCCCAACTCAAAATTTCTGCTTTATTAGTCAAAAAAATAAAAAAATAAATAAAATGGAAATGATAAATGGTTGTTAGGTGCAGCAAATGTAAATGCAAATGGAAATGCAAAATTTCTGCTTTATTAGTCAAAAAAATAAAAAAAAAAAATAAAATGGAAATGATAAATGGTTGTTAGGTGCAGCAAATGTAAATGCAAATGCCTGGGTTGGTTGAGTAGACTGTACTACTGTGGAGAGGGAGGGAGTGCGTGAGTGAGAGAGTAGCAAAGTAAAATCATAAATGCAATGCATTTTACCATCTCAATCTACCAATAACATAAATGCCATGATTTTGATGTCCTCTTGTGTTACGACTTACGAGTACACAAATAAATGTACGAACGAAATTACATTAAATATCAGTACTGTTGCTATTTAACAGATAACTGGTCTATTACGCCAAAAACCCATTTTTCTCTTAAATTATTCAGGTTGATTGTTTATACACTCTACTACACTATAGTCACAAGTAATATCATTTGAATGCAATCATCCTAAAAGCTGTCTGTGTTTAAAGGACTCTGGTAATCCTGTAAAGGTTGCTATTATCTAATCTAATCTTATCCCCTCAAAAAATGGAAACTGCTGTCACTATCTAACTAAACCTCTTTCTTTTACTATATTCCATTACAATTTTGAATAACAGATTTTGATTTTCATTTTGAAACCTTTTTTTTTTTTTGAAACCAAATAACACGGAGTTTTTGTATCCAAATCCAACACTACTGCCCAATACCTCACTTTTACTCATTTTCAGGTGACCATTAAATTTATTTTTCAATTACTAATTTCATGGATTTATTTTTTATGACAAAAAGCAGTGGCTGAAATCTAAATGCTTATTATAAAGCAAGTTACTAAAAAGATGATTCTTTATTCTTTGCTCTTTAGTATCACTATCCTCTGCTACTTGCCCTGCCACTCCTCTCTAATTTTCATTCTTCTTTGACTAATTCTCTCACTTTTAAACTACTCCTAATTAAAACTAGATTAAGTACTAGCATTCCAGCTCAGATTATGGAGTCTTTCATTTATTTAAATTGGAGTACTAATTGGGCATTACCTTAATTTTCGATAACATATTATTTGCCCCGGTTTTTGTGCACTACTTTCTTCCCCTGTTTCTTCCTACAAAGCTTTGTATACATGCACCTCTTACATTAGATTATGATACGGAGTGCTTATTAAGCTATTAAAGTATTAAACATTTTGATGAAATCATGGCACTATTATTTAAATGAATTAGCACCTTCTCCGGCAAGCTTCTGCCATATGACTATATACTCTATGTTTAATCATTGATTTTGATGATGGGATGGAAAACACATCTTATAAATTCATAATATATGATGGGCCTTCTTTTAAAACTCCAAAGCACTGTACTGTTGCAATGCAATTAGTATTAGTATTGGATTCTCACAGTAATTAAAAAAATGAAAAAGGAAGATAAAGATGTTAATCATGAAGCAACTTTATACTAAATCACCCAATAAGTCAAGAATAAATAAAAGCAAGAATGGTCCCCATCTGTTCCCTCCTTTATTTGTTACTGATGTTGAGTAGTGCAGTTTACCATGACTCATGAGTAATACTACTAATCTCTGTTTCCCATGCAATATGAATATGAATTATGAATTTATGATCGATGATTCTTTCCTCCTCATTCACCCCACACAAAGTCACCAACACTATTCCCCATTTTTGGTTACTTTAAACTAATTGAAAATAGCTACACCACTCCACTTCACTCCCCACCAAAAACTAAGTTACCAACACTCTTCTCTCTCTCTCTTTAATTTCCCTTTGCTGCTGCTACTGAATACTGATACTCCAAGTCCCAATGGATATTTCAGCAACCTTTACCTTGCTGTTTCTTCTAGTTGCTTCCATTGCTGCGGTAGCTTCTGCTGATGTCTTCTCTGATGCATTGCTGAGCTTAAAATCTGAGTTTTCAGATAATTACAATGCCTTGGGCGATTGGTTTATGCCTTCCAACAAAAACCCATCTGATGAAATTACTGCTTGTTCTTGGTCCGGAGTTTCTTGCAACAGCAACTCGACCATGGTTATTGGGTTGGACCTCTCAGCCAGAGGTCTCGCCGCCGAACTTTCTGGTAAACAGTTTGCTGTCTTTGTTGATCTTGTTAGCCTCAATTTCAGCCATAATCTGTTTTCTGGGAAGCTTCCTCTTTCAATCTTTAACCTCACAAACTTAAAGAATTTAGACATTAGTAGGAACAATTTTTCTGGCAAATTTCCAGGTGGTGTTTCAGGGTTAAAGAAGCTTGTGGTGCTTGATGCCTTTAGCAATGGCTTCTCAGGGCCTTTGCCAGCTGAGGTTTCACAGGTTGAGTCACTCAAAGTTGTCAACTTTGCTGGAAGTTACTTCAGTGGCCCAATTCCTTCAGAATATGGGAATTTTAAGAGTCTAGAGTTGATCCACTTAGCTGGGAATCTCCTTGGTGGTGAAATTCCTCCTGAACTAGGCAAGCTTCAAACTCTGACACACATGGAAATTGGCTATAACTCCTACCAGGGAGGCATCCCTTGGGAATTAGGTAATATGACTCAACTTCAGTACCTTGATATTGCTGGTGCTAATCTCTCAGGTCCAATCCCAAAAGAGATTAGCAATTTGGCTAACCTTCAATCCCTTTTCCTCTTCAGAAACCAGCTTAATGGCTTAATTCCTTCACAGTTCAGCAAGTTGGTTTCTCTGCAAAGCTTGGATCTTTCTGACAATCAGCTTTCTGGGAGAATCCCAGAGAGTTTCTCGGAGCTAAATAATCTCTCTTTGCTCAGCCTTTTTCAAAATGAATTGAGTGGCACTATTCCCCAAG